TATGCTCCCGTGGTGCTCGTGCAGCTGCCGGCTGAATGTGTCAGACACTGCAGATGGAAAGGTGCAGGACACTCCATGTGCAAAGTCGGCCACACGAGCACCACGGGAGGACAGGACGTCGGGACATGTAGGGCGCACTGGAATGTAAGCCGGCCGACTCCCTGCGTTCAGGTGCGGGAGGGGGTGTGGAGTTGTATTGAAGTCAATGGCATCGCCCACATTGCGATCGCCCGCACTCGGAACGCAGGCACATTAGTGCCTGCATTCCGGTCCAGTGCGATCTGCAAAAATAGTGCTCGCAGAATTTTTGCGGATCGCACTGGACTGGAACACAGGCCCTAATGCAGGCGATCGCACTGTGGGCGAGGGGCCTGCCTGTGGAGCCTGGCTGCGGTGCCATTGACTTCAATGCAGGTGTTTTTTCGTTGGTAGATCTCAATGAGCTCGTCATTTGAAAAGTAGATCTCCAGACGAAAAATAGTGGGCGCCCCTGGTTTAGATGAACATATCTAGATCGCATTTTTATATTGTTCTAAATTTAGAAAGCACTGGGGACATGTAGACTGAAAATCAGTTTCTGATTTTAGCTATCCCGCATACCATATACTTGCTTTATTGCACAAACATGCATGACTGCCCTTCCCATTCATTTTAGCAACCGACGTGTCAGCGTACAGCTGGTATGAAGCATCGCTGGTGTCCTTGGGATGATGGGAACAGCAGGTGAAAGCGGGGGAGAAGGCAAGTATATTATTTTCTTTAGCTTTCCCCCACAGGGGTTTTTATATTTATTTGGAATTTTGAGATGAGGACCTCACTAAATAAGCAGACTTTGCTATTTTACTGCAAGGTCCGTTCTAAAGTCCAAGTGATATAGCACAAATAGACAGAAAATGTTCCAACATCCTCCATTTTCATAGTATAACCTCCACGTTCCTGTTTTAGCAACTGTGCACTGTGTTTAACAAGTACCAAAGATTGACCACTCTGTTCAGTGTACACTAACTGACCTGGTCAGACACAACCCTTCTCTGCCTTATCACTACAAGCCAGCGTGAGGATGCTTCTGATAAGGGGCGTGGCTGTTACTCAGCTATGCCAGCACAGAGCGCTGGAGTAGGAGAGCAGAAAGTGCATTTCCACTAAAATTAAAAGCTATTTTTAGGCACTGACAAATGAAAATCAGTTAAGCATACGACAATAAAGAAAATAAAAGGAAAAATAATTAATTATAAGACTCCCACTTTAAGGTTATTTATTTAAAAAGTATTGCATTTTTTACAGATTTTAGAATTACCCCTGAAAACTGCATTTTTAGGTTGGAAATCCCCATTATACCCTCCTGAACTGTACAACAGTACATAAAATACAATTCACGACCTGTGTGTACTGGAAACCTATCCGCCCCCCATCTTTGCTTCAGTGAAAGCTCCCTGCTCTACCAAGAGATATAGAGACCAAGAAATACTATACTAACAAGTCCCAAGTAGCAGCTTTAGAGATGTCTAATACACAAAAAGTGCTGGGCTGTATTTACTTTTTTTCAGTGCACATCATGAGTAGGGTGCAATCATGATCATTTAAAGACTTTTGTATTACCCCTGAGATCTTTACAGGATGAAACCTTTCAGTGGGCTCTTTAACAATGTTAAGTGCTGGAAATGGTTATTAACCTTGCTTTACCTTTCCAGTTTCTGATGGAGGTAGTCGATGTGCCTGTTCAGTTTCCTGACATCCCTTCGCTTCTTCCTAATGAGCTCTTTGTTTCTGTACAAGTACCTGCGAATAAAGGCTCAATTACTTGATGTCCCCAGACTCTCAGTGTGAACTCAATGAAGAAAGAACCATCTTTTTCATGTATAGTAACAGAAAAAATTACACGTTAAAGGAATATTTAATTTGCCAATTTAAAATGCGTCAATATAACAAGAAAAATTTGAACCTGTAAGTAAAAACACACTACAGTAAATGGAGAGGTACAAAAGGTATGTAAATATACCATCATCATGTTCAGTGATAATGTTTTTAAAGTTGAACTCAGGTACTCTTACAAAAAAAACAATTATTTTAGGATATACTGCATCTAAAAACATTTAACATAGAGCTATAACTCTAAAGTGTCTCGGGGACCCTGTTGTTGAATACATAATGACATTCCTAGCATACAGTGTCCACTACGTCTGAAACAACTAATCGACAAATTCAATATTAATAGATAATGAAAATAGTTGACAACGATTTTCATTATCGATTAGTTGGTCTGTCGATTAGTTGTGCTGCTTGTAGCTCCTAACAGCCTCACTCGTGTGCGTGTTATTGACAGGCCGGGAAAAGCGTTCAAGAGCCCCTATTGACCGGTCGGGCACTGCCCGAGGACCTGCAGACTCCCCAAGTCTCTGCCTCCTCCTCCCCCCCGGGCTGCTTATAGTGGACGAGCCAAATAGGTTTTGTATGTGTGTTGTGTGTACTTTGTGTGAATTGTGTTGTATGTGTGCTGTGTGTATATTTTTTTGTATTACTTGTTGTATGTGTAGTTGTGTGGTGAGCGGGTGGGGGGGGGGGGGGGTTGGGTCGCTGAAGACTATGTGGCTGCTCCCGGCACAAAGATGGCTGAGCAGCGAACACAATTAAGCCTGTATAGGGCATTACAAACTGCACGCAGAGCCGCGCGCAGCAAAGGGAAGCGACGGTTCACAGGGCTTCACTTGCAGTGTGTCTAGCAATATAGCAATAACCTCTCCCGCGCTCAGCTAGGTTAGGGCTGAGCATGGTGAGATGAAAAATGTAATCTCTAACCAAGTACGTACGAATCCACGCATCATGATGCGTATTCAAGCATGCAGCCAATCAGATTCCACCAGACAAAAGCGTCTGGTGGGAGGAGTCCAGCAAAGAAGTCTGCTTGGTAATGTTTTCCTTCCTGCATATGTTCCTTCTGTGACATATGCCAGGAATGAGAGCTATGTAGAATTAATATGATATGCCTATTAAATAATTAAACATTTAATGAAATAATATTTATTAATCAATATTTTTAGTTAAATAACTAATAGTTAACATATTTCTTTAATATATAGTAATGCAATGTCTATTAAATAATGTGGAAATATCACATATATTGAATGGGTGGAAATATTACATATATTGAATGGGTTAATTCCTGTACCCGTTACAGTGACTTGTCCGAGAAAAGTATGAAGTAGTCACCCGCACACCAAGGTCCAACGTGTTAAACACTGCCACTGGTGCTACCATGTATGCTTAGCATCTGAATAAAGGCGTTTAACACATTGGACCTTGGTGTGCGGGTGACTACTTCATACTTCTGGACTTATGCACTGCCATTCGCTGGTCATACCAGCACCCATCTTATTGCATTAGGATTCCGGTCCGGAGTGCGTTTGGGACATAGATTATTGTCCAAGATGAGGACACAAAAGCTTGAACACCCTTGATTGCTGTTCGACTCCTACTTTCATGTATACTTGTATCCGATTGTATCGCTTTAATTTATACAAAATTGCCAAATTTATACAAAGTGGTACCAAACTATCCCGGGCTTTGTCCACCTCGGTGGCATCCCTTCCTGCTCTCCATTCCCCTGCCACTTAATGATGCAAGTCCTCCCTGTCCTTGGCCTCTATAGCATGGTGTATAACCTAATTCACACTATAATTTTTCAAACTGTATAACTTGTATGGTATACATGGCTAATAACTAGGTAGATCCTGGACAGAGAGCACCGAATATTAAAACATTCTATACGTGTAATAAATTCCACACTACTGAAAGCTTTAGAAGAAAGAACTTAGCCCAAAATCAGTTTGCATTGATTAATTCTCATCCACAGGAGGACAAAAAAAAAAGAAAATATATTTAAAAAAAATCAGGTAGGCTGCTTTGCACATCATCCAAACTCTCACACAAGCCTCTAAAGTATGTGGTTAAACATAAAATACAATGTAATTATACATACACAAGAACGAGTTTAATCCGAGGTCATTAGATATGCTTTACCTGTCCATATAAATTATTTCGGGGAATTCAAGTTTATTATGGATCTTTTCCGGTTGACCCAAAGACTGATTATATTCAAACCGAGAAAGTTCAAAGGTTAGCACCGGGGGAAGTTTTGTAAACCAACGCTGAAAATAAAAAAAAAATAAAAAAGATAAAATGCTCAAAAAACTAAAAAAAAAAAAAAAAAAAAAAGGGAAAAAAAAAAAAAAAAAAAAAATAAAAAAAAAAAAAAAAAAAAAAGGAGAAAATAAGAAAAAAAAAAAAATACTATTTAGCATCATGTTCACATTCTACATGAACAATACTATGTACAGTGATAAAACATAATTTCTTCTCTAAAGAGTCAGTATACTGATATGTACTACATACAGCATGGATACATATAAAAAAAGCAAACCTGTTTTTGTATTTAAAAAAAAAAAAAAATACACAAAATAAAAAAAACATAGCATCACTCAAAAGCAACGCAGCATGGTACTGAATGATCTTCAATCAGGCAGGGAAGTTTTTCTGGTGTATGGTTGACACAACATGACAATACTAACCTCTTGCCTATATTGCACTGCTTGGCCAGTACGTGAGAGCTCAAGATCTCCCTCCAACACTGCCGCCTCCAGGCACTCATTTAGGTTGTTAAAGCCATTTACCCGCAGGGGGTATTGCCCAAAGGTCTCGACTTTAGAGAAGTTTTTATCTGTTACAAAAAATAAACGTATTATATTACAAAGCAGCAGGTGTCTATATACAGTGGTACCTCAGCTCACGAACGCTTCTGTCCGTGAACAGTTCGGTTCACGACCAGGAAATTCGCAAAATGTTGCCTCCTTTCACGAACTCCGCTTCGGGTGACAAACAGAAACGCAGCCATTTTCCCCGCTCTGACACATGGTCATGGCTTCCTTTAGTCGAGATTGTGGTGTGATCACAGTTTGATTCGGTTCACGACTAATTCGGTTTGCGACCAGAATCGCGGAACGAATTAAGTTCGTGAACCGAGGTACCACTGTGTGTGTGTGTGTGTATATATATATATAGTCTGTGTTCTAAAGTTAAATAAAACAGTTCTCACAGAATGTTCTAACGTTTGAATAATCCCCCCTCAATACCAGAGCTCCTAAGCAGGTTACTCCTGGATTTAAAGTATATGTATAAACCAAAATGTTTTTTTTTTTTAAAGGAGAGCCGTGGGAAGAGTGAAAAACACTCAATCCCAATAATTAGAGCCGACGTATGAAACTGCAGCAGTCACACTCCGCCTCTATTGATTGAGAACTGAGATCACATACTGCTGATCACTCAGTCCACGGTCTTCTACTGTCAATCACCACTCCCTGCAGGGATTCTCCCCTCTCCATTCCTCCAGCGCTGACTGGAGGTATGGACAGGTGAGGGGTACATCTGGCCTTGGCTCTAGAGAGGCAGATCCAGCTGTCAATCAGGCAGCGGGTGGATCCAAACTATATTGTTGGGATGTTTTCCGGCTGAAACGCAGCTCTGCGCTGTCGGCATATAGCAGCCAATTGCCTATTACATGCAGAGTTGTGGGTCACAGGAGGACATAGTAAATGTCCTCCTGTGACCCTAAAGAGAACTATGGCCAAAAAAGGTTTGGCCATAGTTCTCTTTTACGTTTTAGATGGATAGGTTGTTTGTAACTGCATGTGTCTTACTGGGGGTGGGTCCTTTCACTTCCTGTCCCGAAGACAAGAAACCTCCCCACAGATAATAGAATTCCCATCTTAGAGTTGTCACAGGAACAGGTACCCCATTTGTTGGATTTGCTGACAGGGATGACCTTAGTCTGCTGATGTTCCTCCATTGTTCAATAACAAGCTGGGGGTTGGGAGGTGACCAAGTTGTATTGCTCATTTGCAGCAGAGAAAAGCAATGTCACCAGCCTGACTGTGCTGTGCTGTCTGGCAGAGCTGTGTAAATGTCAGGGCTGGCTGGAAAAAAATTGCAAATCCTTTGACAGGTTTAGTAGCACACATGTAGTTCTAGTGTACATACAGCTGTTTGTCTAGAGTACAGGTTGAAGACTTAATATTTGGTTTCTTGCAAAATCTGAACTTTTTTTTTTGTTCTTAAATGAGAAAAAGAAAGACAAAAAGAGAAAAAGAGAGAGACTATTCCTCCGCTGCCATTCTAATAGGTGACGGTGTTTATTGACTATTTTTAGTAGATTTGGCTGCACCTTATTTTAATATTCTACTTTTTAATTAGACTATTTAATTAGAGTTTTAATTAAAATCATGAGCAGCTTTAAGGTCATTCCACGTAGTCCCTATTGCCAGTTCTGAATAAAGATACAAGTTTTTTACAGTAATATCAAATAGTGCATCCTACAACATTTGAGTTTAAAGTGGCACTAGGGGCAAAATAAGTCTGAATGTTGAGTTCCCCCATACCATAGTTTTCACTCCCATTCATCCTGACAGTACAATAACTTCCCTCCACAGGGCGACAATGCTGTTTGTTCTGCAACAAAAATGCTTAGCAGCACGGTCATCTGGTGGGCAGGGTAGTCTTAGATGGACATGTAGTTTTGAATGGACTTTTTAGTAGGCGAAAGTTTAAAGTCCGACTCCAGGTAACACTTTGAAGTAGTTGCAGCAATAGATTTTCTTTTCTTTTTGGAAAAATGGCTTAAACCAAATGAATAGAATTTGATCACTGAAAACATCCCCTGCAACTTTATATCTGTTTTCTCTATTGTCCAAACCCCTGCAATGTTGAACAGCTTGATGTAGGTAAATGTGGAAAACAAAATATAAAATTAAAAAAAAAATATATATATCACATACAATATCTATACTGTATATCTAACACATGTACAGCAAAAGCTTAAATCCTATATAGCACACGTATAGTAAAAGTGTAAATCCTTGCTGGGTATTAAGGACACCCTATGTGTTTATTCTCACATTGTCCAATTACTACAAGCAACATGCAAAGCATACCTTCCAGATATCCTTCATTAAGAAATGTACCATAGAAAAGCTGCACCATTGGGTTTTCAGCCTTATCTCTTGAACACCTAAAATACAAAGACCCAAAATATAAAAAAAAAAAAAAAATCTCACATTTCCTATTACCGTTTTAAAATGTGAAAAAAAAATTCAAAAAAACCAAAATAAAGTCAGGCCTCGTTAATAAAATGAAACTCTATCAGAGAGAGGCGCAGAATTTACTTTTCTGACTAATAAAGGCAAAAGTGGGACTCTTGTGATATTCGCTCTTAGGCAGGTGCAGAGTGTTTAAGTTTAAGACAAAGTATAGTTTACTATGAACAAACATTAGGACCTCTCCTGTAACATTCAATATGTTCATGAAACTGAAAACCACTTTACACATTGCATACTTTTTAGGTACCCACCGTGAGGCAGTATGCTTTAAACTTAAAATAACCCAGGCTTATTGTGCCGTCACATAGGAACCGCCATTTGTGCAGCTCTTTCATGCTGCTCTTGCTTTTTGTCAGACTGAGGATCAACCTTTGATTTGAAGGCTCAATGTTACCTACTCTTTTGTGAGTATCATTCCATTTTTTGCCATTTATAAAATAAAAATGTATTCACTCTAGGGAAGGCGCCCCTTGTTTTTGTTTTCTCATCATGAACTTAAAATGTATTCAATATACTACATTATTATTATTATTCAATAGAGATATGTATCCACTTAAATGGTGACTGTGGCTCATATACATATATCCACCCAAGACCATCCAGATCCGATTATCCATCCATCAACATAACATGTCTGGTCATTGGTATATAGCAGTATGATGTAGAGAGGAAAGGACCGCCTCCTTTCACACTTTACATACAACAACATAATGATTGCTTCCCCATAATCCTCAAGAGTAAAGAAAAAGATACATTGGTTCTAAAATAAATCAGGGTGCATGTCCTCAGTCACTGATTTCCCGGATTCAGCCGCAAGTCTTCCATATCCTACCACAAACCCAAGGTCAGCACATTGTCCACAAAAGATTATTTCAGTAACCCTATTCTGTGGCCATCCTATTGTGAAAGCGGACGTGAAATCAGAAAACAATTTAAATGATGGAATATAAAAATTGTACTTACTCTCCGCAAACGGCTAGTTGGAAAGCGTCCTCTAGCCAATCCAGCAGCTTGTGTGTAAACTCACAGACATCTTGCTAGCAAGCAGAAATGCAGAATTAGTCTTTAATACATTAAGAACTGTGGCATTGCAACACTAAAGTAATAAGCATTATTTAATTTCCACCAAATAACCCGTGAAGGTAAAAGTATTTATTGTCATGTGACACACGGACGTGCTCTCACAACATCTGCTGACTCAGAGTTATAATAGGAAGTTAGGAGAAAACAGATGCCCCAGGGCAGCCTGGAAAAACACCATTAACCTCACATGCCTGAGGAGAAATACAAAACGCTGTGATAATAGTCTGAGTAAAATTGCATTACCAAAAGGAAAAATGCCATAATAATAAGTAGGGATGTCCCGATACCGATGCTAGCATCGGAATCGGGCCCGATACAGGGCATTTTGACAAGTACTTGTACTTGTCAAAATGCCCCGATGCCTAGCACCGAAGCTTGTGCTGTTTTTTTTTTTTTTACCGTCCGTGGGGTCCTTTTCACCGTCCTCTGTGCAGGCTGGAGGAGCGTCGCGTCACTGCGGTAGGCGGAGCTCCAGGTGGGGTCCTAATGTGGTTGGCCAGCGACTGCCCAGAGGACTCCGCCTGTAGCTCCACCCACAACAGTGACGCGACGCTCAGCCGCTCAGCGCCGCCGACGTCCTCGAAAAGGAAAAAAAAAGCATTCGGCACCTCCATTGAACAGGCTGAACAGGTGCAGGCACAGATTTGTGCCAACTCAGGCGAAGGTGTCTGTGCCCCCATGTCATCCTGTGTCTCCATGCCATCCTGTGACTGTTTTAGTCCTCCAAGTTCATGAGGTGTGTCATGAAAACACTTCACACATGTATAATAGCAAAGAAGACAGTCAGTAGTTGCTCATGTTGCTTTACTGGGGCCATTTTGTTGCACTCCAATCTGTTCATTAGTTGTACTAATAGCAGTTTTCTTTCTACCAGTTATTGGTGTGGTGCATCATTAGCGATGTGCAAACCCAGCAAAGTTCAGTTTTTAGTAGGGTTAACCCAGAGGGAAGTTTGCAAAGCCCAAACATAGTGTCAAACCCTATTGAAGTCTATAGGAATGCCTTCACAGCTGCACTTGAAGTTATCTAACAGTACAAGTAAACACTTTAAAACATAAAAAAATGCACTACTACCACAAAATGACAGATCCACATTTGCTCTGGTTTTACAACTTTGTGAAAGCAAATAAAAATGTTATTGTTCTTAAACAGTCTTACATAATAGTAAAGAATTTGGCCTAAAATTATCAGTCTGTATGTTTTTTTTAAAAATGTCACCTGTCCCTTTAAGAAAAAGTATCGTTAATTGGTATCGGCAAGTACATGAGGGCCAGTACTTGTACTTGGTCTTAAAAAAGTGGCATCGGGACATCCCTAATAATAAGATGTCAATATTCTAATATTGACTTATGATGAGGTATGAACACTCATTATCATCAGCTCTATAGCTACTGCAAAGTCTACACCGGGTTTTCAAATCAACCACCAATACTGGCACAGACAGAATGTGCAGAGGGATGAACAATGTATTTAAAGTGAACCTGTTGGAACAATACAATTCCTAAAGTAGACCTATGATCAGATGCATTTGATCACATTAAATGCACGCATGCTAAGTAATGTGTAATAGTAAAGCTGGCCATACACTGCTTATTTTTTTTTTTGTTCAAACTGCAAGAGAAACGGAAAAAATATAACAGATTCCTCCATCCACACTGAACAAATCTTCTGCTAGGCTATTGTACATTTGTGGGTGAGAATACCTGAACAGCTTAAAAAGGAGAACTATGAGGTGAGTGATTTTCACTCAACCTCATAGTTCGAGTGGACGTGTTACAATGAAACTGTCACACGTCGGCTCAATAGATCAGGAAGTGAGCGAACACATAACGTCGCTCGTTCACTTCTCGATCATGTCCCTGCAGAGAGCCGTGATGGTCACACACGGCTCCCTGCAGGGATTCCCCCCTGCCCTGTCCGATCCTTCAGTGCTGACTGGTGTAACGGACGGGGGAGGGGGCAGGTACAGCTAGCTCTGCCTCTAGATAGGCAGAGCCAGCTGTCACTCACGCAGCTGGGTGGATCCAGACAGTACTGTAGGGATCCGTCCCGGCTGCGGCGGTCTCAGTATACAGCGAGCTGTAGCTCGCGATATACTGAGCTTTGGGTGATGGGAGGACGCTAGTTTATGTCCTCCCGTGACCCTTAGGAGAACTATTAGGAAAAACACTTACCCCATAGTTCTTGTTTAATGGCTGCCGTCATTGTTCAGCCAAAAACTTTGCGACTGGCTCCTTCTATTTGCTGATCAAAGGATGCCAGGTGGAATGCTGCAGACAGGGTAACCAACCGAGCGAAATTCGCACAGTGTATCGCAAGCTTAACACTTGCAGGTATTTATTATCTCTCAGATTACACTACTTCCCCTAACAATGCCTTCATCTGCCTTTCTCTCCAAAAGGAAGGAGCCATCTTTGTTTCAGGCATCACACAGGGTCATGTTGCAGTCTGGTCAATGGGGAAGAGGAGACTGGGGAGGCGCTTCCTCCTGCCTGCAGCAGACTGATGAAATCATCTCATTCAAGGCAAAACCACTGGGTAGAGGCAGAAGGAAGTAAACTGTAAGCTATGCCTATAAAGGCAAGCCGAGTACAAATGACTAGTCACCAGTATTGCCTGTAGGCTCCCAGTAGCTGATCTTTCCCCAATTACTGACTTATAATGCCTTCCTTTATGTCTTTGTGTGGAAGTGGCCATCTTGGTAGAGGCAGGGCTTTGCTTCCTCATGTCTTATCCTCCAGCAAGGAGAACAGTGAGCACCACAGTAGTGAACTCACCAAATCTCCCTCCAAATCTAAGGCCAGTAGTTAGGGCAGCTGTATGCTAGACCTTACACTGCACATATATAGCCATGAGGCTACAGAACAAGAGTGCCTACGAACCCTCACATACAAGGACGTGCACTGCTATTTTTCAGGAGAAATTCAAGACAAAAAAGGTACATTTTTCAGGGTATTGCTTAGGGACAATCAGCATTTTCGAAGTATTCCCTATAACATAGCAAGTCCTCTCTTTTGAGTTCAGGTCCACTTTAATTCTAACAGGTATATATACTTTTGAAAAATACTCTTGCTGCATGTTGTGACATATGTACTTAATGATCGAGTTTAAACAAACACGTTAGCTGATGGCATAAGCGGTCACAACATGCCTCTAGCTTGATTAATTATTGTTCCTCCATCACACCTGCACCAGGCCCCACCAGGCCAAATGAGCCACTGCCTAGGCTAGGTACTAAGTTGAGCAGTCATTGTGCATTGCATTGTCGGATAAAGGCATGCTTACTCTTCACTAGGAGGAAGTGAAAACAATGTTGGCGCTTCACAAACCATTGGAGAGATAAACGCCAAGACAAGGGGTATAAGCTACAACATAGTACTGTCATACTGTGTCCTGGAAAAGGAGCTGCAATCAGTGTATATGAACATAAAACTGCTAGGACCTTCTATACCTGTTGTGCTTCTTCAGACAGAAAAGCATCCTTCAACAGCTCAACCGCAGCAGAAGGATCCACAAACTTTCTGTTGGATCCAACCATGAGAGCAAACAGACACTGAAGTTCTTGCATAAAAGCAATGTTTCTCTTCTCCTGAAAAACACAACATTTGTTGTAAGGGTTACAAATGACAAAAATAAATTGCTGTGATCATTAATATTCAATATAGGAATGTAGGGCTCCATTCACATCTATATAGTTTTAACTGTCTGTATGCACAATCTTAAAGGAGAACTATGGGGTACACCTTTTTTTTGCATTTTTAGTTTCCTTATAATACAGGAATACATTTTTCAATGTTTTCCCGTAATCATAAATGCACCATAAGCTTACAATTCAGCATAATATACTGTGGGTGGGGATAAGCTCCTTGCTGAGAAGCGATTCCAACAATATTGTCTGGATCCTCCTCTCCCGGTTTCCTTATAATACAGGAATACATTTTTCAATGTATTCCTGTAATCATAAATGCATCATAAGCTTACAATTCAGTGTGATATGTTGTGGGTGGAGATAAGCTTTGTGCTGAGAAGCGATCCCAACAATATTGTCGGATACTACCCCATAGTTCTCCTTTAATTGTCTTGAAAAGAAAAAATAATTTTCCCTTAATTCTCTCCTACACTTTAGAAAATCACTTTACAGTGAAAATATGATCATCTGCAAAAGCCCTGTAACCTTTTTCAGTTATGGAGTGTGACAGTTTAGCCTGCCTTGTTATAAATGTTGACATTCAATTAGAGAGATTATAAATGAGATTGTACTCCCCCTTTTCCCTCTCTTCCCTAATACTCTTTCCTCTCCCAGAGGTGCTGATAAATACCTGGTGCTTCCAGGTATGGGGGGAGCCAACCACCAGGCCTGAACACTACACCATGATGCAGGGAGTGACAGACAACATGCAACAGGCATCGTCCACCACAGAGCTTGCTTGAGTATATAGCAATGACTGCGATGGAGGAATGTGCGGTGAGGGAGCACTGCAAAGCCAAGTAAGTCATGGGTGTGCTGCACCCTACAATCCAGTGTGGTTTCCCCCGATTGGCTGCTGAGAAAACGGTTATCCCTACTCCCACAGCTAGATGTCAAAAAGTCGCTAGTAATGCTCCTGAAGCAGCTGATTGGGCCAGGAGGGGTTATGTCGGTCACAGTTTTGAGCGTGCTTGGGTGAACTCATGCAAACTGGGTTCCCATGAAGCCCCAGCTTATCCCTAATCATCAGCGTGAATGGAATTTTCCCATTTGCATCCAATTTCCCTCCCTTGTGAGCACCAGTGGGACTCTGGCCATTCACACAAAATAGTCTGCATGCTAACCAATGGAAGGGCACCAGAAATCTTCCACTACTATCAGTACACACGAAAAACACTTTTGGTTTTTATTACTACACAAATCAAGTACTTACACTTCTGCTCTGACACCTCTCCAGCATGCTTTGGGAAATACTGTAACTTTGAACCAGTCTTCGAAACTGTGGCAGGTGGAAGAGCGACTGAAAAGAATGCAAGAAAAATAAAAAGTAGCCATCATTAAAAAGAAGAACCAATTTTAGCAGATCAGTCAAACAATAGAGATTGATGGATCCTTGCTTTAAATAAAAATAGCCTTTTTTTATTTCAGATAAAGTATTTGGCCAAAGGATTTGTACTTTTGTCCATCCAGTCCCGAGATGTTCACAGCCCAGCCATTCAGCACGTCTGGTCGGTAACACCACTTAACAGTTAATGAAAACAGCTGTGTCCTCTCTCTGCCTCTAGACTACTGACTGATTAGTAAAAGAGCAGAAACAGGCTGTTGTTGTCATCCTTCTGCTCACTGTGCTCCCTATCCCAGCTCGATCCTTGGTAGCATATTTTCTTCCAGCATCCTGAATTCCTCCCAGCCCTGCCCTTTCCTCCCCCTAAAGCTGGCCATACACGGATAAAAACGTGGCTGTTTCCTGAATAATTAGCTGACATTCACTCTGTGAGTGGCACTGCCACCACCATCTGGCTCGTCAAAAGCTCATTGAAAGCCATACTATCGAGCCAGATGGAAAACTTGCACCAGAACAGTGGCTATTTCCAATTAGCTGCAATCACTATTTGGGTATGCTGAAAGCTGCAGGTGCCGGTTGTCATAATACAATAGCTGGCAGGGAAGATTTGCCCATACATGCTCTTTAGCATGGATGATCGTATCAAGTTATATTTGTCATTTAGCCTGGTAGGGGGGGGGGCAAGAAATATTACCTTACCATCTTGTCTTAAATTGTATTGTGATTGTGATGTCTTCCTTATATTGTAAAGTGCAGAACAAACTGTTTGCTATAAAAATCCTGTATAATAATCATTTTCTGTATGCCCAGCTTAAAGAAGTATTAAGGTCTGGGTGTTTTTTTTTTACCTTAATGCGTTCTCTGATTCTCTGCATTAGGGTAAAAACTGCCCAGAACCTTTTTCTCCCCCAGTCCAGAAGTTCCCTGCACTTCCTGGTTGCAGTGGGAGGATACTGATGGAAGAGGAGCCATAGGCCCCTTCTGCCATCAATCAAAGTTTTGGTCAGAAAGAAGGGGAGTGGCCTGCCACAGGGCTGTGTGTTTATGGACGCACACAGCCACTGCGGGCACGAGTGCCTCTGTTAGCCGATGGAGATACCCGTGCAGGGGGTGGGAAGAGCGCTGCGGGGACCCACTAGAAAACAAGGAATTTAAAACTTTTAAAGAAAAAGAACATCCTCAGGCAAAAGGTGGGTGTCCTAATAGCAACTATTTAAAAAAAAAAAAATGTTTAATATCGCTTTAAGTGCTGCTGTATAAGGGATTGCAAGACACGGATACCAAAGTAAATTCAGGAACTTACATTAGTTGCATTTAAAATATATATTTGTTGGCTAAATAATGAACACAGAGCCGAATTCATTTGTGTCTTTTATATCTGCCCAGAGTTCAGCTTTAACTGCTAAGTCTATAACCGTATAACATGCAATGCACGCATCAGAGTTGACTTGCTGATCAGGCTTTAAGTAAACCTCACCGTTTTAAATAAAGAAAACAAGTGTTCGCTTTAATTGGTAGTTTAGGTTTCCACATTATCACAGCTCTGAAAGGAGCTCTGTGGAATACTCAGCTGGGAACCAATCAAAGGGAAGGGGTTATTTCTATCTGTGAGTCATACTAATAAACAGCAAGAAACAGCAGACCGTATTTCTAACTATGGCTTATTCTCATCACACACACCCGGGAATCCTAGTAAAATGTTTGATTTTAATTGAGTGCCACTAACGCCAACCAACCAGCTGAAGTCAGGCTCTCAAATTAAAAAGAAACTGGAAAGCACAGTGCCAATCCCGAGTCATTCAGCACTCGCGCGCACGCTGGCGTTCGCTCTGTATTCCATTTTGCAATCAAGTAGTGTAAACACAACAATTGAACAGTCAGAACCGGCCTTTTGTGTTAAAATCCCATCTCAGAGGGATTAGAAAAATAGCGCTGAACCTAAACTTGAAATGTTCGCTGCTTTTCTTCACTTAATGTCCCGCTCCGACAAAGTAACATAATTAGCAATTAACATTTTTAAGGGATCTGTAATGGTTTCAGAACTGTAGACAAGGAGCTGATCTCTTGACAATCAAAGCCATCGCACAGCGGAAGGCAGCTGCAGAGATGGGATTGCGATAGTACGCTGGCATATCTATTACAAAATTGATTACTAAAAGCAGAATTTTATGCAATATTACAAAAAACAACATCTAGTACAATTAAGTTTTTTTTCAAACTGTGTCAAATGTATTTTAAACACTGCTACTAAAATAATTTGGACCAATTTGTATAACACTTTTCCTAATCCTCTACATACCAGAATGAACACCAGAGGGGGCTGGCTGGAATTGTTTGTTTTTTAAAGGAACAACTTTGGTACAATTGTCATTTAAATATTTGCCCCCATCCCAAATGAGCGCTGCTGACCCAGTTTAACACTTTTCATGGCTGTTACAGTGATCTTCACTGTGCAGCTCTGCCTGTGTCCTCTTCCTGAGCATGGGCTCCTCAGCCACATTTCTATGGGGAAAGCCTCAAAGCTCATGCAGAGTGCAGTCTGTGAGCATACAACATAAATGTTGGCATATTTCTCCCACCAGAGAGCCACAGGTGCTGCATATAGCCTCCCATGGAAGTCAACGGCTGTACGCGGGTATTCGTCAGGCTATGTTCGGAGTGTTGCGCCTGTATGCATTCACTCAAGTCACATGTATACCCGCATACAGCCATTGACTTTACAGCCATTGACGTAACTGTATTACAGAGGATCTGAACTCTGTAGGCTGTGCCAAAAAGGCAGGCAAAGAACAAAGCCAAACTAGTCAAATGTGCTCTCCATGCAGCTGATCTTTCCCCATCACTGACTTATAAAGCTTTGTTCTGCACTTTGTCCCCCTTTGGAGACGGTCATCTTGGCAGAGGTATTGCTTCCCCATATCAGAGCCAGCAAGGAGAACCGTGAGCAGCACAGTATTGACATCAACAAATCTCACCCCAAGTCTCCAAAAACTAGCAGTCAGAGACCACATCGCATAAAGGTGTACGTTTAATAAACTGTGAAAGAGTGTGATAAGCAGTGAGAAGGCTTTTCTCACCTTAGCAAAGTGAAAAGTCTAGAAAATGGTGTTTAATAATAAGTCAGATAGGAACTGAAATATCTCACCTCTTCTCATCCTGGTGATAAGTACACAGAAAGTAAGGTCATAGTGACGCTCAGCGCAGAGGTCAGAGTGACGCTCAGCGCAGAGGTCAGAGTGACGCACAGCGCAGAGGTCAGTGTGACGCACAGCGCAGAGGTCAGTGTGACACACAGGGCAGGGTCAGTGTGACGCACAGGGCAGGGTCAGAGTGACGCAAAGTGCAGGGTCAGTGTGACGCAAGGTGTTTTATAGTGGTAGTACCTGCACCCAGAAGTCAGGATCTAACACAATGGTAGGCAATCTCAGCACTCCAGCTGTTGTGGAAGTCCCATGAAGCATTGCAAGACTTTGACGGCCAGAGTCATGACTCCCTGGGGCAGAGGTTTGATTGGATTTGTAGTTTCACAACAGCTGGAGTGTCAGGGCTGCCTGCTCCTGGTCTAATGCAACTTGTTACAGCAAGCCTTGAACACATTCTTCTTCAAGAAAGGTAATTATTTCAGCCATTATATTACTTTTCATATATTTGGCACTTAATCAGCTCTTAGAAGAGTTCAGGCATGCTTTAGGAATGACACAGGCGCACAGGCTCGCGCACAGGGTGTGCCTGGGCACTCTAATCACCCCCGAGCGCAACACCAAAGCTCCAGTGACTGAGCCGGGGGAGAAATTACAAAGATCTCTCTGTGACTGGCTCAGAGATATAGAACGCAGCAGCACTTACATTCATCACACAACAGCCACTGTCCTCGGTGCCTGGGAAGCTGCAAGGAAGTGTGGCCACAGTTTCCCAGGCTTCCCATCCAATCAGGAAGCTGGGCGGGCGGTCACCTGACTACCCGCCAGGCGCCCTGCTTCATTACTGCATCCATTCTGGAAGAGTTAAGGGACAGTTGAAGAGATGGGAATCTGGGATGCCTCAGGTCTGTGTATGTATTACATATACACACACATATACAGGGCTTGAAAAATGCCCTCGTCCGTGACGAGAGGACGGCGGAGCCCGACGAGCAGCTTCCCGGCAGGCCGTTGTAATTACACGGCCGGCCGGGAGCTTTACATTCAAGCGATCGGGCGTCTCTAGAGACGCTAGATCGCTTGTATAAGCAGCTGTCACTGCCATTGCCGGTCCCGAGAACCGTTGTGCCCGATGCGGCCGGGACCGGCACGGCTCTGTGACAGTAGATCAAAGGGAGCTCAGTATACGAACTCCCTTCGATCTCATCTCAGTCCCCGAATGCAGGAAGTGATGTAGGTTACATCACTTCCTGCATTCAGCGTCACTCTCCAGCTACAGAAGCTGATGAAGCCGATCTCTGCTTCATCAGCTTCTCTGGGGGTCCCTAGGTGACATTAGGGGTCTCGATAAAGTCTCCATAAAGAGGACCTGTCATGTAAATTGGCTATTACATAGGGGGCTTCTTAGCCCATGGTGCACCTACGTGCGAAAACGGCGATTGCGCCTATTGTGCCGCACACGTCTGAGTGAGAGCAATAATTTTAGAGCCATTAATCATTGATAACACTAAACTGATGAGCAGTAAAAGCATTTTAATCGTCGCCTATGGGCGTTTTTTGCAATTTTGCAGGCGTACGCAATTTTAAGGCTTGATATGTGTGGTGTCTATTTACCCGCCGTGACCCCCGAATTTTATGTTTTACTAAAAATATGGGTAAGAATAAGCTAAGAAGCCCCCTATATGATAGCAAATATACATATATGCATATACACGGCGGAGGCTGACGAGCGTTGTAATTACACGGCTGGCCGGGAGCTTTACATTCGAGCGTCTCGAGACACGGCGGAGACTGACGAGCAGCTTCCCGTCCAAACGTTGTAATTACACGGCTGGCCTGGAGCTTTACATTCGAGCGTCTCGAGACGCCCGGTCGCTTGCATTAGCAGCTGTCACTGCAGTTGCCGGTCTCAGGATCCGCTGTGCCCGATGGGACCGGGACGTCTCTGTGACAGGAGATCAAAGGGAGCTCAGTACACGATCTCCCTTTGAACTATTCTCTAGTCCCGGAATGCAGGAAGTGATGTATATATAGATCTATAGATCTAGATATATATCTATATATATCTAGATCTATAGATCTATATATACACACACACGGCGGAGACTGACGAGCAGCTTCCGTTGTAATTACACGGCTGGCCGGGAGCTTTACATTCGAGCGTCTCGAGACGCCCGGTCGCTTGCATTAGCAGCTGTCACACACACACACACACACACACACGTTTGTACTTTTGTGTGCACACCCTATTGCAATAGCAACAAAAATGTACATTTCTGCAATCTGAAATAAGGATTATGAAGACCTGTATGGAAATGTAGATTAGGCCATCTCCAGCCTATACATATATTTCAGTATAAATGTTCTATATCTCACCTGAATCACTGCACTAAACCAGCACGTGTTTCCAATGTTCTTTAATCCGACAGGCCAGTCACCGTTCCTCCTCAGATCATTGGGATCCGGTGAATTCCCCCAGACGTCCGATCGTTTTCTTTTGGCACGGCTCTTATTTTCAGTGGAAAGGCAGTCAGTGCATGTGACATGAAGTACGTTACTGGAAGTACAGAAAAATAAAAAGCCTGAAAATAACAACTTTGTTATTATTAATGATACAGAACTGAGGCATATATTGCTTTTGTTTTTCTTAGGACAAACAGTGCTTTTTTTCAGGACTGTAATTAAAAGTAAAACTCCAAAAATTAACATAAATTAACTTTTGCAGTGGCGTTACCCCCGCACAGCAAGGGTTAAGTGCCTCTTTTTTGTCCAGCCGTCCTTGCTCTAGGTAGATGCGGGAATATGGGCAGCTAGAGCGAGGAAGGCTGGATGCCGTATGAGGCGATTTATTGCAGTTTGAAGTCCAGCCGTCCTTCCCCCATCTCTCCTAACTAAAACTCTGCACCTCCTTATGAACTCTGCCAGTTTGAAAATGTGCAGAAGCCTGAGCATAGCAGCGGTGATCGAGTGATCACGATTGCAATGCATTTCCAGGCTTGAATGCATATTTTTTTATATATATATATTTTTTATGATGCATTTCTTACATTTTTGCAAAATGTGAACTTATCCTTTAAATCAGAAACTTCTCTAAAAACAAAAGCTTTATTTACTACTTTGAGTTTCTTTAACAACTCTTGTGTAATGAAAAAACAGATCGGCTGCATTTAGCGCCTCCCCAGCCACAAGTTGATACAATATATCATTGTTTGTTTACATTTTAACAAAACCTTGACAAGGAACAGCTGCTTCTGCCATCAAAGCTGAAATACAAAAAGCAAGACCTCAGTCGTCAAACTGATAGCAGGTTCCAGCAGCTGCAACTCGTATGGCCATAAGATTAGCATGAAAGCATTCCTTAAAGTGACATTCAAGTATTTTTTTCCCTCCCCCCAATGTTAGTGTAGGGACTTACCTTAAATGATGCCTCTTAATCCGATCTTCTTCCTTACTTACTTCTTACTGTCGTTTTAGATGTCCCTCCAGTGCTTCTGCGGGTCTCTGATCCAGCGCCGACTGCTGTCGGCCTCTTCTCTCATGTCCCACGGTGTCTGTGCGGGTGCACGCTGCTCCATATACTCACCTTGCGTCTCTCCTCGTCTCCCGGCCGAACATCTGAACTGCGCGTGCAGCCGCCCCGAGATCCCGTGCGGCCGCCCGATACATTTTCAGATGTTCGGACGGGAGCGCGCGGAACACAACCTCCCTTTGAGGCTGCTTTTATGAATACAATGGTGAAAGGTGGAACACCAATAAAAACATTTCTGGATATTCCAAACTGTACTAAAAAAGGTTGCATTGCTTATTGTGATCCATGTCTCTACACACTGAGGTCAAGTATGTATACTGTCTAGAAAGTGAAGTCTTGCTTAGTACATTTTAGTAGCATGTGCTTGGGTGCCTTTTAAGATGTACGCTATGCTGTAAAGAAGGGATTGACACTTCCCAGGAGCCAGGTAGCCAATGCTCCTTAAAACATTACTGCTGGCACCCAACGTCTCAGGTTTTTTTAGTTTTTGCGACTGGGGCTGGCGGCCAAAAAATGGCTCCTGGATAGGACACATTAGCTCCTGAATACCATATTAACTTGTCCACCCCTGCTGTAAAGTGAAAGAAGGTAGACACTGCCAACTTTTTCAGTTATAAAGGTTTTTTAGTAGGGATGCACTGGTACCTGTTTTTCGGTATCGAGTATGAGTACCGATACTGGAAGTCCCATAAAGGAAGCCAGGCAGCGTGTAATGACTCGCTGCCCAGATTCCCGAGTATCTGGGAAGCCAGCTCCATGCTCCCTCGTCACCAGGTGATGAGGAAGCGTGGAGCCGGCTTTCTGGCCAATCAGGAAGCAAGGGGGCGGGTAATGACTCGCCGCCAGGCTGCCTGATTGGCCAGCTTCCCGGCCAAACAGAAAGCCAGGGGGCGAGTCATTACCCGCCCCACTGGCTTACTGATTGGACGGGAAGCCAGCTCCATGCTCCGTGGTGATGAGGGAGCATGGCGCCAGCTTCCTGGCCAATCAGGAAGCCAGGCGGCGTGTAATGACTCGCGGCCCGGCTTCCTGATACCGGAAGTTCCAGTATTGGGATAAGTATCGGGAGCATTTGGGTGAGTACGATACAGATACTAGTATCCATACATCCCTAGTTTGCAGCATGATTTTGCACACTTGTGTCCAATTTATATATATAGCTGCTCTAAAGTGAATAAGTTGTGGAACAGTCTGCAGTACATGCAGTGACAGCTGAGATGCTGATTAACAGCTAAGTTGGTGACATCGAAGGATGGCTCATTAGAAAAGGCAGATGTCCCAACAAGAATAAGGCAGACATCATGCTCACAATGGTACCTGTGCAGCAGTATATATGTGTTTAACACACGGAAAGGGGAAGGATGAGTGATACAGCAGAGATTTTTCCATATAGTTGGAAACTGCGTGCAATGACAAGTGAAAACCAGTGGGTCCAACAGTCAGAGGTACATGTTACTCCAGCCCTATAAATGCCTACACACTTGATTCAGCTTCCACATCATAGCCATGCTATGTTACTATGGTAACCATTAGGTTTGAAGGAACATAGGACCAGAGTCATCATTCAACTTCCAAATGTACAAAATCTTTCATTAATGGTAGAACCAAGCACTGGGGAAACATAACTGGCTTTTCCCTCAGTGACTTATCAAGCTAACATAGCTTAACCTTGGTCTTCTATGATACAGCACAAGCAGAGCTGTCACTCAGAATTGTCCATGTTGTGAAAAGTGGACAACTTTACTTCGGCTGACATTGCATTAATTGTGTTCAACTTTAATTTTTACAGCAGAAAACCTCTCCAAAGTTTGGAGAAATCCCTTCTTAGAAAGTTGTCACTAGAACAAGCCTCTCCATGGAAAATCTCCCCTCACCTCCTGCTAGGGTTGCCACCTGTCTGGATTCAATTAGACAGTACAGGTTTTGAGTCCTGTATGTGCTGTTTACGGGTTTCAGGCCAGCTAAAACCCAGACACAGCACATACATGATTCAAAACCCGGACTGTCCAGCTGAATCCAGGGCAGGTGGCAACCCTACCACCTGCTCCTGTGACAACTCAAACATTTTAAATGAATACCATGAAATAGCAGTCATGATAATCCATGTCACTAAAGGGTTTTACTCAAGAACTGTAACCAGTTTCTGTTTCCTAAAATTGGAGGTGTATACATATGCCAAAATGGCAGATCGTTAAAAAATAGGCATAACATTTTCTCATAGTTGGTGCAGTCTAGTTTGTCAGCAAGTCTCAGGTGATGGGACTTCTTTGTTACTAAAATATATTGCTTACAAAACATTTTCAAACACAATACCTGTCTCTTGAATCGCTCCCCTCTGCCTGGCGGCTTGTAGATTCCTGCAGGCTGAGGGCTATGGCTGCCTCGAGCTCATCCTTATCATTCATGAACCTGACCACGGCTGAAAATATAAACAGGAAAATAGATTACAGGCAGGATTTATTTAATAACTATGAACTTCATGTACCACAATGACAAAAGGATTTTGGAAGCGGTCATTTTTCAAATGACATGTACACAGAGTGCAGTGTGCAGAGTCCTTGGCAAAGAAGCCTGGACACTATGTATATATGACATCTTCAAGAAAGCCAGCACATTTATGTAGTTCCTGGCACAATAACAATAAAGTGGAACACCAAGGAAAAGCTTTCTTCTTCCTTGTGCTGTGTACAGTAACCTCTCATGAAGATCCTAGGTCCAGATAACTGCTGGTTAAGGTAAAAATCCTAGTTTCATACTATGGTGCTGTACACAGTGCTATACCTTCAGCACCATGGGGATGACAGCTGTGAGAGTATGTTGAGAGAGTTTACCCCTTGTGTGGCGCTTATCAGAGGTAGGAGCCGCACAGTCATCGCTGAGAGTCCCCCTTCAATATCCTCACGGTGAGTTACAGAAGCCCACCTCTTCTTCACCCACCACTGCATACCTCACCCCCTCGCTTTCTTGTGTCTCCATCTGCCTGATTGGGTCCAATCGCTACACCACCCTGGAGAAGAGGGATCACCCCCACCACCACTCCATCCGCGTCACCGCAATCTGATGGGTACAAGCGAATGCTCACCCAGCCTCAGGTGAGTAAATCACCAACGCTTACACCCTGCTCTACCACATTTATTGCGCCAGGTAGTGGCGCTTCCGTCTCCAATTTTTTGTTTCCTTACAGCTGTGAGAGTAGCAGCTCTTATACAGTGAAGGGATCCTGCCATTTATCCTCCCTTCATTCTCCCATTGTCCATTCACAAAACGCATTGTATACGGTTCACAGAATAAAGTAGCTTTTATTATCAATATGTAACACTTTAAAAACAGAACACTCATGTATATAAAAAGTCAAAGTTTATGGATACAAACTTCAAAGTAAACCTGTACTCCATTTGAAACCTTTCAACGTTCTGCCTAAGAACCGACACCACAAGTTGCCAGCTGTTAAAAAAAAAAAGCTTCCACTAAATGTCATCCCCGACCCCAAGGCCCGGGATAGACTAGAAATTTTGTTGCCAGCAACAACTCATCAGCAACAGATCTCTATGCAGTGAAGAGTAAGTAGGAGTTTGCATGTTCTCCCTGTGCATAAATGGGTTTCCTCCGGGTACTCCAAAGACATGCTGGTAGGTTAATTGGCTCATGTCTAAATTAGCCCTGTATGTATTCATGTGAGATAGGGACCTTAGATTGTAAGCTCCTTGAGGGCAGGGACTGATGTGAATGTGCTCTATGTTAAGCCCTGCGTAAATTCTCAGCGCTATATAAATGCCAATAAATAAATACCTCTACGTGTAGCTTTCTCAGTGTACACAAGTGAGCCTTCTATGGCGAGCAATGTTCTCCAGAACCTCCGTCAGAAACAGAGCAACAGTTTGCTCATCTGGCCAGCGAGGGAGGGGTGTATGAAAGTAGGTGAGGAGTTTTTTGTTTCCTCTACATAGCGATTTTGTCCTTGGCGAGCTTTTGCCATTGACAGGATTGCTACTGTGCCATTGCTCATACTGGCCACAAAGGCAGTGTCATTGAACAGTGGAACTGTTGGCAGGGCTTAAAGAATAAGTTCACGTATTTTCTAAGTCACTTTCACTTACGTCAGGGGAAGGGTGCAGAAAGAATAGGTGTACTTATAAATAAGGCCAATTGTTCTTTTATCTATAAAGTTGGGGATTGTCAGCCCATAAACAAAACTTCTTTTGTTTGCTATTGCTACTTCGACCCAGAAAAAAAGTGTCAGTTACTGAAATATATGTATACTGCACAGCAACAACAAATTAAAAAAAAAAACTTTCATATAAAGTAGCAAGGGGGAGGAAGGAGGGGGGCTCAGGAAGCTCGTCACTTACCAGCTTTTGGTTGGTTAACCGTGGTTGCACCTTCAGGCGGTTCAGCAGTGTTTTCCTCTGGCTCTTTGGCACATTCATCAGTTAGAAAACTTACAGCCTGAATTATGTCATTTTTACTAGCCTGAAAAAAAGGGGCAGAAAAATGAAATGTCACATTCATGTCCCCCGAGTGAGGCCGAACTCTTTTTTTGGACACAGATGGTATTTGCAGTACTTTAGTGCTTTTCACCCTAATGTTGAAAGTTAAAAAGTCTTATGATGTGATTTGCCAGCTACTATATTTGAAATTCATACCTACCTGCTGTAACAATGCTGAAGCAGGTACTGGTTTATTATATTCTACAATATGTTTTGGCAAATACCATAGAAACAAAAGAAGAATTTAACAAATCAGTCTGTTCACAATAATTAGTTCTAGCAAGCACTCATAACCAAAATGAAAAGAACAGTCACTACACAGAGGCTATTTAGCCTAAACATACTAGGTCTCTGCTAAAACTCTGTACGATTCACATATCTTCTCCTGCTGCTATTTACACACATCAAATCAGACCTAAGGGAGGGGACATGGATCACATACTGCACCGACTATGCTTTAGATCTTCAAGAAAGTATTCTGCTCGATTAAGGGCTAATTCACACCAGATGCAGTATTCATGCAATCCGTTCCATTTTGCAGCTGCATCAAAGACGCAGCACAATGCTTTCCTATGGTACTTCTTGTGCTCTGTTCACACCAGTACAGTCCGTTCGGATCATGACGGAACACATCAAAATGCATGCAAACACATCGGAACGCACCTGAAATACCATTTTAAGCAATCACACCACCTCCCCCCCCAAAAAACAAAACAAACAAAAACACATCTATTGCGGTACAAAATCACACTGCAGCTGTGCAAATGCATGCGGTTTTGATGCAGTTCTGGTGTGAACTAGCCCTGAAGAAACCAACTGTGCAGGTTTGCTTAGAAAACCTTTATGATTCCCTGCATGCGTAGCTTTGCTTACTGTACCCATAAATGAGTTATAAGCAAGCTTGGGTGTTGATGGCCAGAGGTCGCCTGATGTCTAGTCTGATGGTTTCTGCCCTGCTAACTGCCTTACCTCTCACACACTGTTTGGCAGCTCCGGAGTGTGCAAAACAGCATTCGTTAACAGAGTCCTGTAATTGCTCAAACTCCTCCTAAACAACACCCCCCAGAAAAAACACAAACAAAAAGTATATTGAAACGAAAAACAGTATATTCAACAGGTAATCCAAAGCAATTCTATATTGTCCAGTACAGTATCTCTTTACATTTTTGCCCAAGCACTTGTAGTCACCATGTCTCCAAACAGCTGGCTCCAACTCTCTTAGCTGTACTTCCTGTTAAGTACAAGATCACAAGGGACAGCAGCTGTCTGTCTTTTACTGGTATGGAGAGCAGGAAGCAGGGATAGGAGAGATAGGAGAGTAGCTTGGAGAGATGCAGCTTACTAGCACACACATTGGTGGCTTCATAGGACCCTTGCAAAAACTTTTAATCAAGAAACAAAATCCATTGTAAGTGATTTAATTAGCATTTGAAAATAGCTTAAATACCTTTTGCCTTTAATATCACTTTAATTGCAGGGCTCCATTTAACAATGTTATGCACGCTCAGGAGCTGGGAGACCATGTTTGAGAGGTAATGTGGGGATGTACTGTAATGTAACATCCCCTTGTAGAATGCCTTTAATTCTAATTTGCACTAATTGTCACTAAATATGTAAGAGTCAAAGCTTTCTTTTGCAGAGCTCACAAACTGGGACAAGAGAAGAGGGGTATGAACGGTTCCCGCTTATGACTTGTGTCACCAAATCTTTTCATGTGTTGTCAAGTTCAAGAGATAGAAGCAAACTTTAACAGCGATAGATCTCAGTGGTGTCATAAATCCACACAAAAGGACAAATATATGCAAAGTATGGTACCCAGAGCACCAGATAGATATACAGATATTCAAATAACAGCAGTCAGCAGTTTAGATCAGTTAAAACAAAGTATACAGCCAGTAACTAAAGGCGTGTGTGTGCCAGCTTCCTATTCAGAATGGAGTCAAATGCAGTGTGCTTTCAGGAGCTTCTGAAATGCATTGGCTACAGTTTGAGTTGCTTTGAATTGCCATTCAGTTTCTTCTGAATTGCATGAAACTGGCAAGTTGCTTTTGAAATTACATTGACTTGTATTAGGAAGAAAAGCAGCTCAGATGCAAATAAAGGCCCTTGTGCATAAGCCATATCTGACCGATACGGGTCCCCAGACTTGTAAAATGCTGTGTGACTTATGAAATAAGCCAAAATTATTCCCAGCTAATTCAACTAAATAAACCAAATGTGTGTCTCTCACACATGAAACACCCAACTTGCTTAGTAATATAGTCTGACCTTAAGTGCTTCTTTCAGAATAGCTGGATCTTGAATCCCTGTTATCTCTCTCAGTTGGTTCATCAGTATTTGAGAGTCCTGGAAATGAAATATAACAAATGAGTAAAAAATAAATTACTATACGATAGTGATTCAGCACATGTACACTGACACACCTAATAAGCCTTCCCAGATTGGGTCGTGTGGGGATCATGGAAAACCCATTAAACATCAAAGGGCTCTTCTTGACTAGTTTTAGGCCAAAGTGGCATATCTTAAAGCGGAACTTTACCCTTATCTTTGAAATGACAACAAAGACACTAGAAATGTTTAGTAATGACAATCTACAAAACACATACGTCTAGATAATTGCTGGCTTTGTATTCTTTGCATACCCTATTTCTCTTTTCTTTCCCATTCTTCTCACAGTGGCCATTTTTTAGTAAGGGCAGGTTAATATATCTCCCTTTACTTCCTGGATTTCTGGCACATGACTTGGACATGTGACCATGCACATCATCTCAGGGGAGGAAAATGCCTTCCCCTAAGATCTCATGAGATTTCCCAGCAATACACTGCGATGTAACCTTCCCAGGGTGAAACACTTAGGCTGCGATCACACCATTTTCAAGACCAGATCTGAACGCAGTACATCACATTTTTGCCATGTTCCGGAGCCAGGTTTTTTTCCGGCTTAAAATGAGCTTTTAGGTGCGGCCCATGCATTTTTTATGCTTTTCTATGCATTCCAGACCAGACAAAGTGAGACATGCGGTATTTTTCTGGTCTGGAACAGACTGGGCTGGTGTGAACAGAGGCCAGAAATAGCATAGGGATACATTAGGATGCATTTTGGGTCCGGAAACAATCTGGTCTGGTCTGGTCTGGAGATTATCTGGATGTGGTGACAATGGGCTCTTGGGCACAGCAGAACCTTGCCTGGCAGGGCTAGAGATCTGATTTCTCCACAGTAGTTAGGAAACACCTAAAGGTCTCGTCTCTCCCCAGCCTGTGACTGAACTGTAAAAGGAAAAGCACCAGACCGATGAGCTCACGTGTCACTCAGCTCTCTCCTCCTAACAGCATAGCCTTGGCTCCTTGTCCTGTTTCTCCATTTCCCAGTTGGAGAACTGCTCTAAAGTGACTTCAATAGGCTGATACTTGTATATTAGTTGTATTAAAAATGATTTCATAATGTATTAATAGATACAGAGCTGCATTCGTTTGTCTTTTATATCTACTTGTAGTTCAGTTTTCATTTTCTTACTGTTCCTGCAGGGCCCACTATAGCAGCAAGGAGGGATAATATTATATATTTTTGTTTAAACCCTAGACCAAAACAAGTACTTAACCCTTGCGGTGGGGGTTATTCTTCCTGGAGTTCTTCTTTAAAGGCTTGATCGAGAAATGGTTTGTGTGGTTTTCCTGCCTCCACACATTCCTACTGACTAATAAAACAATCCATCACAGTGATAGGCCAATAGGGAGATGCGTGGGTTTGGGGAAGCAACAATAACCAAAAGGTGTCAGAGCAATACCTATCAGAACAGTCCTGGATTTTGCCCTGACAGGAGAGTATTACAGTCTCCTTAACCGCAGACACACAAGTATATTTCAATTATGGTATGCAGAGCCATCATTCATTTTTTTTCAGAGTTAAAAAAACAAAAAAACGCTGCCCAATCGTGTATCTTCATTCATTCATAGTAGCGCAAAGATGCTTCTATTCCAAGAGGGATAGTGGTGGCTACTTTACAACTTTACATCTCATGTTTAGTTAGAAAATTTGTATTGAGATTGTAGTCCATCAAGGGAGCGAGCTTGGAGCAGTGACTACTTTACAACACACACAGGGACCATGGGGAACAAAGTAGCCACCCTCCAGAAGGAAGGACAGTGTCAGCACCAATTCAGAGAGGATTGGAGGCTCTACAGCCGAGTGATACACAAATAAGATACATTTTTGTTAATAATTAAAAGGTACTTGAATGTATTTTTAAGAAGAGGTGCACCGAAATGGAAATGTTAAAACCGAAATAGAAGAAATTGTCAGACCGAAACAGATACCGAAAATGTTTTTTATTTTTTCAAATTTTTTAAATATTTATGGGGGGAATTAGGGATCTAAAACAGACCCCTGATATTTCCCTTTTAAAATAGAAAAAGAGATTGAGAACACAGTCCTCAATCTCTTTTTCTGTGTCCCCTGTTATCAATGAACAGGAATCCTCTATGAGTGTTCCTGTTCATTGATAACATTAAGACATGGTGTGGTTACTATAACAACTATGAATGAACAGCAGGTGATGTAGATCACTCCCATTCATTCATAATTGAGGCTATAGTTAACATACCATGTCCATAATTATCTACAAACACTCAGCGCTCAATTATCCACAAACACTCAGCGATCACTGATCGCTGAGTGTGTGTACCTTGCTCTCCTCTCTGACAGCTGTCACAGTACGGCCTGTCTCCGCCCACACACCGCTCTGCCGGACTGTGATAGGAGGCTGAGCGGTCTGGGAGGAGACGCCGGCCGCTCATATCGCTCTCTTCCCGCAGCGCTCGGCCATCACAGTTTCTCTCCTCCCTACTGGGACACAGAGCAGCGCCCAGCGGGGAGGAAAGAAACCTGGGATGCGTTGATGTATCGGCAGGAAAATGGCACTTTCGGCATTATGCCAAAAGTGCCATTTTCGGGCGATATGTTTCGGCGGCCGATATATAGGTGCATCCCTATTTTTAAGATTCAACTCCGGAGTTTAGGGACCTTTACACTCAAAAATCTAATTCTACCAATGCATTCCTCTATGTATGATGATGAATAATAACAGACATGTCAGGTGTAAACTGCTGTGATTTTGATATACTTGCAGAGCATTTGCTTCCTGCTTTGAAAGGGCAAAAAGACTTCAAATCTCATGAGTTCTCAGGGAAAGTCAATTTCCTCCCCTGAGATGCGGTGCATGGTCACATGTCTTAGTCACATGTGCCAGAAATGCAGGAAGTCAAAGGAGAGCTAGTAATCTGCCCTTAGTAAACATGGCCACTGTCAGAAGACTAGGGAAGAAAGGGGAAATAAGGTATACAAAGCCGGCAATTATCTAGAAGTATGTGATTGTAGATTGTCATTACTAAACATTTCTAAAAAGGTGTGATTGTCGTTATTTTAAAGATACGGGTAAAGGTCCGCTATAAGTTTGCCAATAAAGGGTATCACTTAAACTCCAAACTTTCTGCACAATGCAGCTATAAAATAGTGCCAAAAATTATTTGAAAGTCTTTAATTTTCACCTAAAAGAGTTTAGACTACTGCATTGCAATTAACTTATATGGATAGCTCCATCTACTTCACTAAGACAACATTCCTACCAGACAATTATCAGATGCTAAGTGGGGATGGCTGAGAAGACAGAATGGCTTTTGAGGAAGGCAGTGGATGTCAGAGACTGGAAAAGTCCTGAGCTGTTACATGCACTGGGACATATAAGGAGGCAAGGGAATGTAAATGAGCTTGATGAGCTATTTTAAGGTCAGTTGCACATGCCATTTGAGTTTGTCATTCCTCCCTCACAATGATGTGCCAGCCACTCATCACTGAGAATCAGCAAAGCCTGTGCTACTAAAACAGTGATGATGGGGAGCATATTACTAGACTTTGGTACCTGCTGAAAGAATGTAATTCATCAGCATATAACATGCTTCGTGGGATGTAAAAGTTAAAACAAGAATGGAAAGGGTTTTGAAATGAGCTGCTTAAATCTCCAAATACACTTATCTGCTTTACTAGGCAATTGAACTGGGGAGCTGTTTTCGCTCATTTGCGTGACTGTTCTGAAAACCGCATGGTTTTCAATGCATAGAGATGTCTAATGGGACCCAAACCGTGTGACAACCACCCGAAAATAGCTCCTGCACCTTTTTGCGATTTTGTCCTCGTGACAAACCACAAAGGTGTGAGCAGCCTCCATTGACTTCAATGCAAATCTTTTATCTTTGCGCGATATCGCGTAACTCAATCTGCACGATAAAATCGCCTGGGTGTGTACCTAGTCCCAGCAGGAAAAAGCAAATTAGCGCTTCCTCAGCACTCACAAACCACTGGGCTTAGTCAACCAAGACGGGGTGTGGTACTGCAGATTCACTCCACTGGAATCGGATGTGTTATTTCTCATTGGTTGCTATGGATAACTGCACTTTGCACAGCTAAAAAAATGTCAATGTCAGATGGGGCGGGCAAATTAAAGTAGAACTGAAGCCATAACTATTGATTTTTTTGGATAGAGTAAGGGAAGGTTAAAACCCCATCAGCTTTGTTTTTGTCATTGGGTCCCATTGATGAGATTTCACTTTACTTCTTGTTATGGCTATTGGACAGGAAGTAGGAGGAAATTCCTTCAAAGAGAGTGAAATCCCTGGTGGCCAGCAGGGTCACCAGAATTACTGTCCCCAATGGAAGACTTCCCATCTATTCCTGTTCTGATGATGACCCAAAGTTTGTGATTTTCTTTTACTTTCTCTTTTAGTGATAAACATCAGTAAGACAAATAAAGAGTGTGAATCTCCCTAATGGGGATACAGATAGCAATACAAACCTGACAGATTATTATTAATTCTACGCCAAGCAAAAATAAAAACCTAAAGTTTTTGGATTCAGTTGCATTTTAATATGGAATTCATGAGCCAGTCTGCCCAAACCAGAAGCCAGGAGGTGTCAGCTGTATTTTTAGGCTCGGGTCACACCCCGGCGTACGGAATATGCGCACGTGGCGCGCGTTTTTACCGCGATTTGCGGTAAAAGAAAAGCGCGTTTCCGAGGGCTATCCAGCTGTATCCTAATGGATACGTGCGGCAAATATGCCCCAAAGAAGCTCCTGTACTTCTTTGGGCATAGGGCGGTTTGCAGCGCGTTCCTACGTGCTGTAAAACGCCCAGGTGGGAACCATGTCCATAGGCAATCATTGGTTTTCACATGTTGAGCGTTTTACAGCGCGTAGGAACGCGCTGTAAAACGCCCAGGTGTGAACCAGGCCTTAAAGGAGAACTATGGGGTTAAGGCTTTTCCCCATAGTTCTCCTTAGGGTAACGGGAGGACA